GACTACAGAAACCACATGAGCCATTGGCACCAAACTGAAACAGAGCTGAGCTGAGCTGAGCTCTGTATGTACAGACCAACGTTAATTTCTGTTTTAGCCACATGCTACTGACTACAGATACTGCTGTTAGCCCCAGCCAGCCACATGCTACTGACTACAGATACTGCTGTTAGCCCCAGCCAGCCACATGCTACTGACTACAGATACTGCTGTTAGCCCCAGCCAGCCACATGCTACTGACTACAGATACTGCTGTTAGCCCCAGCCAGCCACATGCTACTGACTACATATACTGCTGTTAGCCCCAGCCAGACACATGCTACTGACTACATATACTGCTGTTAGCCCCAGCCAGCCACATGCTACTGACTACAGATACTGCTGTTAGCCCCAGCCAGCCACATGCTACTGACTACAGATACTGCTGTTAGCCCCAGCCAACCACATGCTACTGACTACAGATACTGCTGTTAGCCCCAGCCAGCCACATGCTACTGACTACAGATACTGCTGTTAGCCCCAGCCAGCCACATGCTACTGACTACAGATACTGCTGTTATCCCCAGCCAGCCACATGCTACTGACTACAGATACTGCTGTTAGCCCCAGCCAGCCACATGCTACTGACTACAGATACTGCTGTTAGCCCCCAGCCAGCCACATGCTACTGACTACAGATTACTGCTGTTAGCCCCAGCCAGCCACATGCTACTGACTACAGATACTGCTGTTAGCCCCAGCCAGCCACATGCTACTGACTACAGATACTGCTGTTAGCCCCAGCCAGCCAATGCTACTGACTACAGATACTGCTGTTAGCCCCAGCCAGCCACATGCTACTGACTACAGATACTGCGTTAGCCCCCAGCCAGCCACATGCTACTGACTACAGATACTGCTGTTAGCCCCAGCCAGCCACATGCTACTGACTACAGATACTGCTGTTAGCCCCAGCCAGCCACATGCTACTGACTACAGATACTGCTGTTAGCCCCAGCCAGCCACATGCTACTGACTACAGATACTGCTGTTAGCCCCAGCCAGCCACATGCTACTGACTACAGATACTGCTGTTAGCCCCAGCCAGCCACAAGCTACTGACTACAGATAATGCTGTTAGCCCCAGCCAACCACATGCTACTGACTACAGATACTGCTGTTAGCCCCAGCCAGCCACACGCTACTGACTACAGATACTGCTGTTAGCCCCAGCCAGCCACACGCTACTGACTACAGATACTGCTGTTAGCCCTAGCCAGCCACATGCTAATGACTACAGATACTGCTGTTAGCCCCAGCCACATGCTACTGACTACAGATACTGCTGTGAGCCCCAGCCAGCCACATGCTACTGACTACAGATACTGCTGTTAGCCCCCAGCCAGCCACATGCTACTGACTACAGATACTGATGTTAGCCCCAGCCAGCCACACGCTACTGACTACAGATACTGCTGTTAGCCCCAGCCAGCCACATGCTACTGACTACAGATACTGCTGTTAGCCCCAGCCAGCCACATGCTACTGACTACAGATACTGCTGTTAGCCCCAGCCAGCCACATGCTACTGACTACAGATACTGCTGTTAGCCCCAGCCAGCCACATGCAACTGACTACAGATACTGCTGTTAGCCCCAGCCAGCCACATGCTACCGACTACAGATACTGCTGTTAGCCCCTGCCAGCCACATGCTACTGACTACAGATACTGCTGTTAGCCCCAGCCAGCCACATGCTACTGACTACAGATACTGCTGTTAGCCCCGGCCAGCCACATGCTACTGACTACAGATACTGCTGTTAGCCCCCAGCCAGCCACATGCTACTGACTACAGATACTGCTGTTAGCCCCAGCCAGCCACATGCTACTGACTACAGATACTGCTGTTAGCCCCAGCCAGCCACATGCTACTGACTACAGATACTGCTGTTAGCCCCAGCCAGCCACATGCTACTGACTACAGATACTGCTGTTAGCCCCAGCCAGCCACAAGCTACTGACTACAGATACTGCTGTTAGCCCCAGCCAGCCACATGCTACTGACTACAGATACTGCTGTTAGCCCCAGCCAGCCACATGCTACTGACTACAGATACTGCTGTTAGCCCCAGCCAGCCACATGCTACTGACTACAGATACTGCTGTTAGCCCCCAGCCAGCCACATGCTACTGACTACAGATACTGCTGTTAGCCCCAGCCAGCCACATGCTACTGACTACAGATACTGCTGTTAGCCCCAGCCAGCCACACGCTACTGACTACAGATACTGCTGTTAGCCCCAGCCAGCCACATGCTACTGACTACAGATACTGCTGTTAGCCCCAGCCAGCCACATGCTACTGACTACAGATACGGCTGTGTCTGAAATGTCTGCTCTTTTCTGTTCCTAGTTAAACAGTCTTTGTGAGGACTGAGGGGTGATTTGGCTTAGCCCCCCTGACAACTCCCTCATCCCTCCAGCGTGTCTCTCTCTGTCTGTGGCACTAAGCCTGTTTAAAGTGGTGTGAGACCAGGCTAAAGTCCTGATTAAGACACTGTAGTGGTGCAACGGGTGGAACTATGAGACCCTGCAGATTACACACGGATGAAGACAAAGTGAATGACTTCCTTCTCAGGGAGGGGTCTGTTGACATACAGTGGGTATATACCGTTAGAACCCAATAACCTATCTGATAGAACCCAATAATCTATTAGTTAGAACCAAATAGCCTATCAGTTAGAACCCAATAATCTATTAGTTACAACCCAATAACCTATCTGATAAAACCCAATAATCTATTAGTTAGAACCCAATAACCTATCTGATAGAACCCAATAATCTATTAGTTAGAACCCAATATTATATCAGTTAGAACCCAATAATGTATCAGCTAGAACCCAATAACCTATCTGATAGAACCCAATAATCTATTAGTTACAACCCAATAACCTATCAGTTAGAACCCAATAACCTATCTGATAGAACCCAATAATCTATCAGTTAGAACCCAATAACCTATCTGATAGAACCCAATAATCTATTAGTTACAAACCAATAACCTATCAGTTAGAACCCAATAACCTATCAGTTAGAACCCAATAATCTATTAGTTACAACCCAATATTATATCAGTTAGAACCCAATAACCTATCTGATAGAACCCAATAATCTATTAGTTACAAACCAATAACCTATCAGTTAGAACCCAATAACCTATCAGTTAGAACCCAATAATCTATTAGTTAGAACCCAATATTTAAAAAAAAAAGTTTAGTAATTTAGCTGACGCTCTTATCCAGAGCGACTTACAGTTAGTGCATACATTATTTTTTATACTGGCCCCCCGTGGGGGGGTTATGTATCAGTTAGAACCCAAAAAATATATCAATTAGAACCCAATAATCTATCAGTTAGAACCCAATAACCTATCAGTTAGAACCCAATAACCTATCAGTTAGAACCCAATAATGTATCAGTTAGAACCCAATAATGTATCAGTTAGAACCCAATAATGTATTATTCTAACATGCACATGTGTTATATTGTAGACTCATGTATACCCACAACAACACACATCCTCTGGAAATACAATTGATGCAAAAACCAACAAGATGCAGAAAACCCTGGAAGTTAGAATATTGATGTGATGTTGAGCCCTTTCATTACTGGTAAAAGACGATGCTTGAGAATATTGACGTGATGTTGAGCCCTTTCATTACTGGTAAAAGAGGATGTTTGAGAAAATGTTAACCATAAGTATTGGACCATGATTCATTATATAAAAATACATGACATCTATAACACAGGCCCCAGTCCAAGGTTCTTAACCAGTAGGTTGTCTAGAACCACTGGTATGTTGTAATGTTTTAAACATGCCCTCAACCATAACTCAATCATATATCAGCCCGTTTTTTTCCACACAGAGATATTAGGGCTGGGAATTACCAGGGACCACACAATACAATATTACCACCATACTTATGTGCCGATACCATGTGTATTGCGATTCTCAATATTCTACATGTATTGAAATTCGACACTGTGATTTTATTGCGATTTGATGTTTCCAAACATATCGCTCAACCAGATGTCTGCTGCAGAGGAACGAGAGAGAGCCGTGAGAAAACAACGCTGAAAACAAAATTGGCTCCCTATTTAAAGAGAAGATGGAGAACAAACTATGAAGGAAAAATACTGGAGTTGTGGTGCAGGTACAGCCAACTAACGCAATAATAATATTGCGATATTGTCAAAACGATATGATACATTATATCGTTAAATAAATATTATCCCGATATGTAACTCTATCGATGTTTTCGCCCCCATCACAAAGAGATGCATTAACAGTAATTCTGCAATATAAAGGCTGTGGGGTGAAGTCTGATTTAAGAGGTCTGGCGTCGATTTCAAGACATAATACATCTTCCTAAATATTACACGTAGTCGATTTCTCATGATGTCACCGGCTCCACTCTCTCTCCACGAGGTTCAGCATGACCTGCCTGTCACCATGCACCCCAGTCTCTCTCTCTCTCTCTCTCTCTCTCTCTTTTTTTCCATATCTCCAACTCCATCTCTCACTCTCTCTCTCTCTCTCTTTCTCTCCCTCTCTCTCTTTCCATATCTCCATCTCTCTCTCTCTCTCTCTCTCTCATTCTCTCTCTCTCTCTCTTTCCATATCTCCATCTCTCTCTCTCTCGCTCTCTCTCTCGTGTTACACTATACCTACACTCCAGCACAACATCCCATTAACTAGAGAGGAAAAGGCTGATGCAGAGGAGATGGATGAGGGTAGGAGGAAGGAATATGGTGGTAGTGGTGGATAATCTCAATGCTATCATTTAGACCTAATGTTGTTATGCTTTCTGCCTGTTTGCTGTGTGAGACACACGTAAAGCCAAACACACATTTTCATTCCACAAGAATGAATTTGAATCTTAATCTGACTTCCCTGGTTACCTAAACAAATAAGGTATGCATAAATCAATAAAAACCTAGTTGAATGGTATCTGGTTCCTACCTGTATAATGGACATCCTGTTACTGGGGGTATCTGTGGTGTTAGTCACCGGGCCAGTGAAGGACGTGTGACAGCTGACGCCGTGTCCCTGGGGCACCGACAGGTTGTTGGCCGTGGGCTTGAGGTACATGACCTCCGACCTGGGCGAGCTCAGCGGCAGCCGCGTCTGGTAATCGAAATACATGGGGGAGGTGGCGAGCGATGGTGAGCTCACCACGTTCATGACGTTCATTGCGTCCCGTTCCTCCACCTCGCTCTGAACCAGCATGATGTCGTTCTTGTTGATCTTCTTCTTCTTGCCTTTGCCCAGCTGTGGGTGAGAGTACTCTGCGATGCGGCAGTTGTACGTCCTGATCTCTTTGTTCTCCCGTTTGCACTTCACGGCGATGGTTACCATGGCCGCCAGCAGCATCATGGAGATGACGGATAAGGTGACGATGAGGGGAAGCGAGGCGTCCCAGTTGTGCTGCTCTTCGTTGATGTGGGGCTCCCCGCCCGGGAGCGGCCCGCTGTAGGCCTTGACGATGAGGCGTGCGGCGGTGGTGAGGGTGGGCTTCCCGTGGTCCATCACCCTGATGATCAGCTCCACCGTGGGGCTGACGTCCTCCCAGAAGGGGTGAGCGGTACGAACCTCGCCCGTCACCGGGTCCATCTCGAACAGACGCTCCTCGTTACCGTCAGAGATCTCGTAGGTCAACCGCCCGCTCTCGCCGTAATCGTTGTCGACCGCCCTCACCGTGGTGACGATGTAACCTACGCCGACGTTCCGTGGCACGTGGATCTCCGCCGTGTCGTTCAGGAGCAGCGGGAGAACGATGACGGGGATGTTGTCGTTAACGTCTAAGACGCTGACCCTGACCGTGGTGTTGCTCTCCAGGTGGGGAGACCCCGCATCCTTCGCTAAAACCTTAAAATCAAAGAACTTGATCTGCTCGTAGTTGAACGACCTCACGGCGTAGATTGCCCCGTTGGCCGCGTTCACGTTCACGAAGGTGTTGACGTCTCCTCCGCTCACGTTGGAGTTGAGGATGGAGTAGAACACGGTTCCGTTCTGGCCCAGGTCCGGGTCTAGTGCGAGAACGGAACCCAGATACTCCCCGGGGATGTTGTTCTCCGGCACCTGGAGCAGGTACACGGCTTTGGTGAAGCGCGGAACGTTATCGTTCTCGTCTAAAATCTTCACCGTGAACGACTTGGTGGAGTTAAGGGGCGGGGTGCCGTTGTCCTTGGCGACGATGGTGACGTTGTACTCGTCCTGCTGTTCTCTGTCCAGAGGCCTGTCCGTCACCACGGTGTAGAAGTTGTCGTAGTTCTCCTCCAGTTTGAACGGAACGTTTCCCAAGACTCTACACTGGAGCTTCCCGTTCCTCCCAGAGTCTTTGTCCGTGACTCTGACCAGGGCAATGACCGTGCCTGGTGGGGCTGCCTCGCTAATGGCCCCCTGCCTCACAGACACAAACCCAATGGAGGGCCAGTTGTCATTCCTGTCAATCACATTCACCGTTACTTTACAGTGGCCTGGGATGGGGTTAGGGCCCAGATCCTTCGCCTGAACATCTATTTCTATAATAGGGTTCTCCTCATAGTCAATCTCTCCTTGGATTTTAATGACTCCCGTTCTAGAATCTATAGAGAAGAGTTCTCTGATTCTATCAGGGGCATAACCGCTGAATGAATACACCACCTGACCGTTGGAACCCTCGTCTGGGTCTGTGGCGTTTAAATCTATCAATACTTTCCCCGGGGGGGAGTTTTCTGGGATTTCTACAACATAGGAGGGCTGTTCAAACACAGGGCTGTTATCGTTAGAGTCAATAACTTTCACATTAATCTGCATGGTTCCTGATCTGGGATACTCCCCACCGTCCGTAGCGGTTAGGATGAGGGTGTGATGGTTACGTTCCTCCCGGTCTAATGGCCGTTGGATAACTAACTCGGGAAATTTAGTCCCATCCCCGCGGGATTTTACATCCAGAGAAAATAGATTGTAGTCGTCTCGTGTGATCTGATACGTTTTCAGCCCATTCTCCCCGGCGTCCGGGTCATGCGCGCTAGTCAGCGGGAAGCGGGTGCCGGGGGCAGCGTTCTCAGAAATGTCGATATCAATCTGATCAGAAGGGAACGTGGGCGAGTTGTCGTTGATGTCCACTATATCTACCTTAATCATGCAGATCTCTTTGTCGTTAGCGAATACCTCCATGGAGAGCTGGCACTTGGGGTTCCGCCGACACAGTGTTTCCCTGTCGATGCGTTGCTTGGTATAGAGCAGCCCGCTCTCAGGGTCCACATCGATGAGATGTGGAGCTGAATTCTCCAAAACCCTGAAGTTAGATTTCTTCCCCTGTCCCCCTTGCCCGAGTCCGAGTTTAGCATCTTTGGCTATGTTCCCTATAACCGTCCCCGGTCCTTGTTCTTCGTTAACGGAATAATTCAAGTTTTTCAAAGCCAGGGCTTGAGCCCACAGGAGAAGGAAAAATAAAATAGAAAGATACATCCCCCCGTCGGTGAGAGGCAGTGCTTTTTAATTTCGCTGGATATTTTACGCCTCCGACTCCGACCTGTTGATTTCTACAACACAAAATTGGTGATTTCTACCATTCAGGTTCAAACACACAGTTCCGTTCATCGCGGAATGTAGAAGTCATTCTAGAGCACCGATTTAAATTCCCTTTTCTCTCTCTCTCGCTCTCCTTTCCCTTAAAGAAAACGGTGGTGCTTGCGAACACCTAATTTAAATTCAGTTGAACGCCCAGGCTCATCTCAGGAATAATCGCAATCCGGTCTCCTGTCTCCAACCGAATACAATAGCCGTTATGCGTTCCCGTGCTCTCACTCTCCCCCCTGAAACACAAAAGGGAGGTAAATAACAATACTATATTAATAAAGTGTATTTATATATCAATATACTAGACATAATTAATCGTCTTGACGATAATAATATCCCTAGCTTTTGGTGAATCTGCAGTGAGTGAGTCCTTCAACATGAAACGCATAACAAATGCGTAAATCATTCCCACAATGGATGGGGTTAGCCTGTCAATTAGGTAACCTTGAGAAGCGTCGGGGAGGCGCAGTGCTAATGATACACAATACTGCTCTGTGTTGTTGTCCTTTTGATTATATGGATATGTGGTCAATAAACTATCAGTGTGTTTTAGCAAATCTGACACATGCGCTTGAATAGGATATTCAAATGGATTATTAGTCTATAGATGACAACGGTCACAAGTATTAATAAATGTAATATTAATAAATGTAATTTTTCCCTGTGACACATACAACAGCTTATAACTAAAGCCATAGAAAAATGTATAGCCATATCTAAACGAATAGCTATATAACCACACTACTTGAGTCACCCTTATGAATAGGAATGCGTTAAAATGAGCCTCTTACACCCATTACCAAATCAGCATAATCCGCCTATTTAAAACGATCCAAAGGGAAATCATAAATACCGAGACACAAAACAAGACTAGAATCAAGCCTCCTATTTATTCCGTTCCAGCTCATCCCTGGGCTGGCGAGGCTCGTGGCTTCTCGGAAGCTGTTGCGTCCACACCGAGTGACTGGAGAGGTTCGGTAAAAACTCCCGTAATCCGTTTTCCGTTTGAAAACTGCGCTACGCCTGGTGAGAATATAATTCCTATAATAAACACCTGCGCTACGACAGTGGACAAGAGAAGGGGCAAAAACATCCACTTACCGAAAGGTATCAGGTTAAATAGAAAATACAAATAATCCCTGGTTTAGGTTTACGTTACATCCCAGTCCCCTCGCTCTGTCTGTCTGTCACCCTGCTATTCCTTCTCCGGGTTGGCGAGGAATGAAGCCACCAACCAGCTCCGACCGACGCAGACTAGCAGCGCTACAGTGGTGCGGGCTCAAGCTATCGAAGTAAAAAAGTGCTCCAGAAAAGTATGACTGTAATGTCAATGAGCTCGTTCCGTTCTCCTCTCCGTTCTCCTCTCCGTTCTCCCGGCGCGGCTGATTAGAATGCAGCGGCTTGCCTCCCCTCGCGGCGCGCGCGGTGAGTCACCGGATTCTTCCGAGGAGAATGTTTCTGAGAGAGGGAGATGTGAAGATTGCAGATGGAAAAATATAGATCCCGCAGCGGCTATTAGAGACGTGATCACCGGTCCCGCGAGCTGCACTGATGCCCGGTTACACGTTCCCATATAGCCGCATGTCCCTTCTTGGTTTCTCACTCTCCGGTTTAGAAGACGAGACAGCAGCGGACAGCGGTGGGTTATGGTCGATGTCTCAATAACAACGGTCCTATTCAAAACGTTCCACAGTTGACATTGTCTGCAAACGTAGGTAGCCTGTAAATTGTCCGTGTCAGTTTAAAAATGTTTTTTTTTTTTAAACTGACGGTTGGTTTATTATGTTCCGCATGCGGGTCCGTACATCACCGTTGCAGCGCTTCTCTCGGACTAAACTCTGCTCACCTCATGGTGAGTTAAACATTCTTACTGATGCAGCGCTAACCAATAGATTTGAAGAGGTGGGTACGACTCTCGGCCTATAGGATTTGCCGTGTCCGTCACAAAGGGAGGGACTTAAAAAACCGGTTGACAGAATACAGATTGGTCGGTGGTCCCGAGGCGCAACGGACACGAACAGAATGGATAGTCCTTCTCTCCTCTGCTTTCCATTTTCAAAATTCAAAAACATACACGGTTTTGATTTGAACCTATCTCCCTAGCAGCTGTTAGGACTATATTTGGAAGCCTATTTGAACTAGACAGATAGGTCATTTTTTGCCACGTAGTGTCATAGGCTACTTATGCAATAACATAGCCTACCTTTTTTTTTTCCCGAGAACAAATTCAACTTTTGGGTTGTGTGTGTGTCTGTGTGTGTGTGTGTTGAGATATCAGCTTGTGTGTGTGTCCTCCTATGAGAGTATAATGTCTTTGTTAGGTAATCTCCTTCAGGACAAGGACAGATGGTATTTGATATAGTGATATGTATGAAATGGAGCTCAATCGCGACTGATCGATTATGGTAGCATTCATGCGTGTGTGTGCTCTCACATGCATATATTTATGTCATTCATATCAACCAGTTAAATGAAACCTTTATGCCTGCTTGGTGCCCCAGCAATAACCCAACTCAGATATAGTTGGATATGAACCAAGCTCTCCATTTAGCATTTTAAAGCATGTGCTTGTCTGTATAGGGAGAGGCAGTAGACCCAGTCTGTTTATAACTAATCAGAAACATACTTCACCTTGCCTCATGAATACCCAGTGTTACGCTGTTGAATTATCCCGCTCTCTACCCAGACAGCATCATTCACAGTCTGCTGTGATGAAGTCTACAAATTACACACTGGTTTGGCTTGGCTTTGTTGGGGCTGTTTCTCAACCACATCCAATATGCTTTGAGTGTGTGTGTGTGTTTAGTGTGTGTGTGTGTGTTTAGTGTGTTTAGTGTGTTTAGTGTGTGTTTGTGTGTGTGTGTTTGTGTTTGTGTGTTTAGTGTGTGTTTAGTGTGTGTGTGTGTTTAGTGTGTGTGTGTTTGTGTGTTTAGTGTGTGTTTGTGTGTTTAGTGTGTGTGTGTGTGTTTAGTGGTGTGTGTGTTTAGTGTGTGTGTTTAGTGTGTGTTTAGTGTATGTGTGTGTGTGTTTAGTGTGTGTGTTTAGTGTGTGTGTTTAGTGTGTGTGTTTTAGTGTGTGGTGTGTGTGTTTAGTGTGTGTTGTTAGTGTGTGGTGTGTGGTGTTTAGGGTTGTGTTGTTTAGTGTGTGTGTGTTTTAGGTATTGTTGTTTAGTGGTGTGTGTTTAGTGTGTGGTGTTAGCGGTGGTTGTAGGTGTGTGTGTGTTTAGTTTTTTGGTTTTTGTGGTTGTTTTAGCGATGTTGTTTAGTGGTTGTGTTTAGGTGTGTGTGTGTTTAGCGTGTGTGTTTAGTGTGTGTGTATTTAGTGTGTGTTTGTGTGTTTAGTGTGTGTCTGTGTGTTTAGTGTGTTTAGTGTGTGTGTGTGTGTGTAATGTGTTTAGGGTTTTAGTGTTGTGTTTGTGTTGTGTGTGTGTGTGTTTTGTTGTGTTTAGCGTGGTTTAGTGTGGTGTTGGGTGAGTGTGTTTGTGTGTGTGTTTAGTGTGTTTAGTGTGCTTAGTGGTGTGTGTTGTGTTTGTGTTTAGTGTGTGTCGTGGTTAGTGTTTGTGTGTTTAGTGTGTTTAGTGTGTGTTTAGTGGTGTGTGTGTTATGTGGGTGTTGTGTTTTAGTGTGGTGTGTGTTAGTGTGTGAGTGTGTGTGTGTTTAGTGTTGTGTGTTATAGTGTGAGGGTGTTGTGTGTGGTGTGTGTGTTATAGAAGGGTGTGGTGTGGGTTTACGTGGTGATGTGTTTAGTGTTTGTGTGTGTGTGTTTAGGTGTGGGTGTGTGTGTTAGTGTGTGTGTTGTTTTTAGCGTGTGTGTGTGTTAGGTGGGTTGTGTTTAGTGTGTGTGTGTTTAGCGTGTTGTGTTAGTGGGGTGTGTTTTTGTGTGTTTAGTGTGGTGTGTTAGTGTGGTGTGGGGGTAGTGGTGTGGTTTAGTGTGTGGTGTGGGTGTTTAGTGTGGTGTGTTAGTGTGTGTGTGGGTGTTTAGTGTGGGGCGTTTAGGTGTTGTAGTGTGTGTTTAGTTGTGTGTGTTTTTAGTGTGTGTGTGTATAGTGTGTGTGTGTTAGTGGTGTGGTGGGTGTGTGTAGGTGTGTGTGTGTTTAGCTAGTGTGTGTGTGTTGTGTAGTGTGTGGTGTGTTTGTTCGATGTGTGTGTGATGTTAGTGGGGTTGGGTTTTAGCGTGTTGTGTTGTAGTGGGTGTGTGTTAGTGTGTCTGTTTTAGATTGTGTGTTTAGTGTGTGTGTGTGTTTTCGTGTTTGTGTATGTGTGTGTGTGTGGGTTTTGTGTGTTTAGTGTGTGGTGTTAGTGTGTTATAGTGTGTTTGTGTGGTTAGATGTGTGTGTGTTTAGTGTGTTGTCTGTGGTTAGTGTGTGGGGGTTTAGTGTGTTTGTTAGTGTGTTTTAGTGTGTGTTTGTGTGTGGTGTGGTGTGTTAGTGTGTGTGTGTGTGTTTGTGTGTTTAGTGTGTGTGTGTGTGTTTGTGTTTAGTGTGTTTAGTATGTTTAGTGTGTGTGTGTGTGTGTGTGTTTGTGTGTTTAGTGTGTGTTGGTGTGTGTGTTTGTATTTAGTGTGTGTGTGTGTTTAGTGTGTGTGTGAGTGTGTGTTTAGTGTGTGTGTGTGTTTAGTGTGTGTTTAGTGTGTGTGTGTTTAGTGTGTGTGTGTGTATAGTGTGTGTGTGTTTAGTGTGTGGTGTGTGTGTTTAGTGTGTGTGTGTTTAGGTGTGGTGTGTAGTGGTTTAGTGTATGTGTGTGTGTTTAGGGTGTGTGTGTGGTGTTTGACCGTGTGTGTTAGTGTGTGTGGTTTGTGGTGTGTGGTGTTTTTTAGTGTGTGTGGGGTTCAGTGTGTGGTATTTAGTGTGGGTGTGTGTGTTTGTGTGTTAAGTGTGTGTGTGTTTAGTGTGTGTGTGTGTGTGTGTGTGTTTAGTGTGTGTGTCTTTAGTGTGTGTCTGTGTGTTTAGTGTGTGTGTGTTTAGTGTGTTTAGTGTGTGTGTGTGTGTTTAGTGTGTGTGTGTTTAGCGGGTGTGTGTGTGTTTAGTGTGTGTGTATTTATAGTGTGTGTGTTTAGTGTGTGTGTTTAGCGGGTGTGTGTGTGTGTGGGTTTAGTGTGTGTGTGTTTAGTGTGTGTGTGTTTAGGTGTGCGTGGTGTTTGGTTGTTGTGTTAGTGTTGTGTCTCGTGTTTTGTGTGTGTGTGTTTTTAGTGTGTGTTGTGTGTGTGTTTGTGTGTTTAGTGTGTGTCTGTGTGTTTAGTGTGTGTGTTTAGTATGTGTGTGTTTAGTGTGTGTGTATTTAGTGTGTGTGTGTGTTTGTGTGTTTAGTGTGTGTCTGTGTGTTTAGTGTGTGTGTTTAGTGTGTGTGTGTGTTTAGTGTGAGTGTATTTAGTGTGTGTGTGTGTGTGTTTGTGTGTTTAGTGTGGTGTGGGTGTGTGTATATTTAGTGTGTGTGCGTGTGTGTGTGGTGGGTGTTGGTATGTGTGTGTGGGTGTGTGTGGTGTGGATTCCTGTGTGTGTGTGTGTGTGTGTGTGTGCCACTGCTACACTATATGTAGGCTATGTGTGACTTAACACAACGGCGGCAGGCTGGAGGAAAATCATCCACCTGCCCTGATGAAATGTCACCAAAGCCGCCAAGATACAAGCAGACCTTAGCGCTTCCCCATTAGCTCAATTAAATGGCCGCGAGGAGAGGCTCCGACGGAAACCGTCACTGGAAGCGGTCGGAGGGAATAGCTACATTAAAACACAATTTCGCAAATTAAATTTCAATGGAATGGGGACAGTCGTGAGTAAGGTTAATGAGAGTGAATGCTTGTTATGGAGCGGAGGCTAGGCGGGGCACGGGCCACATTTACAAAAAACAGGAGAATGCTCTTTCTGCACTAGAGTGGGCTGTCATGAGCTGCTGCACATAGACCCTCTGGAGGAGATGCCTTAGAGCGAGAGAGATAGCTATCGAGAGCTACGAGAGATCTCATCTCCGACATAGCTCTATCTCTCAATGCGCTAGCTCTCGTCAATTCATTCAAGTCAATTTCAATTCAATTTAAGGGCTTCTTGAATGGGAAACGTGTGTTTTGTGGTGTTAACAGGAACGGCAAGTAAGGGAAGGGAAAGAGATAGTAAACAAAAGTGAAAATAAACAATAAATATTAACAGTAAACAGTACACTCTGAAGTTTCAAAAGAAAATAAAGAACATTTCAAATGTCATATATGTATATAGAAGTGTTTGTAACAATGTCTCTCTCTCTCTATCTCTCTCTCCATCTATCTGTTCTCTGTCTATGTCCTCTGTCTCTGTCTCCTCTATCTCTCTCTAGGAGAGAGAGGAGAGAGAGAGAGCGGAGAGCGAGAGAGAGAGGCGAGAGAGAGAGAGCGAGATAAGAGAGAGAGAGGATAGATGAAAGGAGAAAGGAGAGAGAGAGGAGAGAGCGGCGAGGTGGGTGATTAGGCAGAAGGGAAAATGGCTTTTTCCAGGCGGTAGGTTTATTAGGTGGTTTATAGTTTATTAGGGGTAGTCGGTAGTTAGAGGGTGGGTTTTTGGTAGTGGTTTTTAGTAGGTGGTTAGCGGGTGGTTTAGTTGGTTATAGAGTATTTCAGCGACAGAGGAGGTTGTTATTTTCCCAGGTATCAGTGACCTTTCACTAGGGCATTTCCATTTTCTCTGTGTGTGTCCCCCATATGGAACCTTATTCCTTATAGTGCACTACTTTTCACTAGGGACCAGAAACCTCTGGTCAAAGTAGTGCCCTACATGCTGAGTGTACATTTACATTACATTTACATTTGAGTCATTTAGCAGACGCTCTTATCCAGAGCGACAGTACCAAAGGTGTCAAACTCAAGATTAAGAAGGGGGGGGTCTA